GGAGCGAAGGGCACGGGTAGGGTGGTATTTGGGTATCAGGTCGGTTAGGTAGTTTGGGGCGGCGTTGTGAATGGCTTTGTAGGTCAGAGTTAGCAATCTGAATTTGATGCGTTGGGCAATTGGGAGCCAGTGAAGGGATTGGCAGAAGGGGGTGGCGGATGTGGAGCGGTTGGTAAGGTGGATGAGTCTCGCTGCTGAGTTCAGGATCAGCTGGAGTGGGGGGGATAGCGTTTGTTTGGGTAGGCCGGTGAGGAGGGAGTTGCAGTAGTCCAGGCGTGAGATGATGAGGGAGTGTACGAGTTGTTTAGTAGTGTCTGGGGTGAGGAATGTACGTATCTTGGAGATGTTGTGGAGGTGGAGCCTGCATGACCTTGATAGTGATTGGACGTGAGGTTGGAAGGAAAGGTTTGAGTCCAGGGTGACACCCAGGACTTTGGCATGTGGGGTGGGAGTGATGGTGTCATTGCTAGTAGTGATGGAGAGGATGGGGGGGGGGGGGCGCGGGCTGGGTAGAAGACCAGGAGCTCGGTTTTGGACAGGTTTAATTTGAGGAAATGGAGCGACATCCAGTCTGATATGTCGTTCAGGAGCTGGGCGATGCGGGCGGAGAGTGAGGGGGTGAGGTGGGGGGTGGATAGGTAAATTTGTGTGTCATCAGCATAGAGGTGGTAATTGAAGCCATGGGAGTGTATTAGTTTGCCAAGGGAGGAGGTGTAGATGGAGAAGAGGAGGGGTCCAGGACAGAGCCTTGGGGGACTCCAACAGAGAGGGGGAGAGAGGGGGATTGGCAGTGTTATAAGGTGACGCTGAAGGAGTGTTGGGATAGGTAGGAGGAGAACCAGGAGAGAGCAGCGTCCCTGATGCCAAGGGAGTGCAGTTTAGTAAGGAGGAGGGGGTGGTCGACTGTGTCAAAGGCCGCAGAGAGGTCAAGGAGCATGGTGAGTCTTTTGAAGATCACATTTTTCTGGCAAATGAAACAAAAAATAGAAATGCATTTTTTATATATAGCTGTTAAATAATATAGTTTTTTAACACACGGTACAGTCATACTGAAAATGACATTGCAAAACAAATCTCTGATCCTCCTGAGAATGGGGATGTCACATGTGAGACTTTTTTTTACAGCCTAGCCTCATAATGGGGCCCGAAATTCAAGGAGCACCTTCAAACTTTCAAGGAGCATATATTATTCATCTAATTTCCTGGCTACCTATCACATGTTTGGAGGCACTGAAGCACCAGGACAGTATAAACACCCCAGAAAAAGACCACCTTTTGGAAAGCTAACACCAAAAGATATTTTTAGGAGGCATTGTGAGTCTTTTGAATATTGTTTCTGCCACAAGCTTTTAGAAAAAGCAGAAAGAAAATTAAAAAAAAGTTTTCTTTATCTTCCAAAAACAAGTTACAAGAAATGAAATATTCAAAAGACTCACTATGCCTCTTAAAATGCTTTTGAGTGTTTGCTTTCCAAAATGGGGTCATTTAGTGGATTTTCTACTGTCCTGATGCTCCAGGGCCTCCAAAATGAGATAGGTGGTCAGAAAATGAGACGCCTAATTTATGCCTAATTTATGCCTCTTGCAAGACTGAAGGTTCTTCGTGGATTTTGGACTCCTCTGTGCAGCTAGGCTTCAAAAAAGTGTCAAACGTGATATTCCAAAACTCCAATATATTTTGGGGTGCGATTCTAAATATATCCATGCTTTGTGGTAGAAATATCTTATTAATTTACATTTACAATAAGATATTCCTAACATGCAGCGTGGGCATAATTAGAATTACACCACAAAACACGTTTTTTGCAACTCCTCCAGAGTATGGGGATCCCACATGTGCGGGGCTTTTTTGGAACCTGGCTGCATAGAGGGACTTAAAATCCACAAAGGTTTGCAAAGGGCATAAATTAGGCATCTAATTTCCAGACCACCTATGACATTTTTAGAGGCCATGGAGCACCAGGACAGTAGGAAAAACATCCACTAAATGACTCCATTTTGGGAAGTAAACACCCAAGGCATTTTCTAAGAGAATAATGAGCCTTGAAGAGTTCATTTTTTTTTGCCACAAAGTTGTCAATATTTCTCACAGCATAGGCATACTTAGGAGTTACAGTCCAGCACACATTTCTCTACTCCTTCTGAGTATGATGATAAGACATGCGTGAGCCTTTTTTAGAGTTTTGACTGATCAAGTACTGGACCTTGTATCTTGTGTATCACAAACAGCAACGAGTAGAAAATTCACCTAAATGTTGGAGAGGATGTGAGGAAGAGGGCACTATGACACATATTTGGTGGGAATGTTGTAAAATACAGAAATACTGGGAGGAGATCATATACCAAATATAGGAGATCACTGGGAAGAGCATAGCGAAAGAACCTGGGACTTGTTTATTCCATAAAACAGAGAATACAGTAGAGAAATACAAAAACTCGATGGAATTCCATCTTGTAAACGCGGCAAAAGGATTAGTTCCAAAATTTTGGCAAGAACAAGAAGTACCGAAAATAAAGGATTGGATAAGTAGGATAGATTACGTTTACAGGATGGAAAATCTCAGACATTTAGAGGAAGATAAAATAGATTACGGGAAAGGTGGAAGAAATGGGAAATTTATAGGAAATTATATAAGGAAGGAGAATAAATAAGCAATAAGAAGGAGACAGGGATAAGAAAACATTGAGAGAAAAAAAAAGGGATCAGAGCGGGTGGGAGAGGGAGGGGAGGGAGGAGGGATATGGAGTTGGGAGGGATATAAAGGATTAGGTTTGTGTTGTTTTTATCACTGGGATCTAAGAAGATATGTGAAATAGAAAAGTGATAATGTATTTTTTTATGGATTGTGATAATATAATATTTAAATGAAAAATCAATTATAAAAAAAAAAAAAAAACTTCAACCAACACTGTAAAAACGTGTCCTGTAAAGGTCACCTCTGTATGAGTGGTCAGGGAATATAGCTTAGTGTAACTTCACCTATAACAGTCCCTATTCCTCTAAACCAAGAAAGCCTAGTCTAAGAGACAGGTTCAGAAGCACATGGCTGCACTGACTGGTGACACTGCACAGGTTGGCTAGCAATCAAGAACATTGTTGCTGGCCACACTGGTCTAGTGGCATTGTCACTGATGTGGCAGCAAACAGGACTGTTGAGGCTTACAATGGTTACACTGAGACTGGTGTGGCAGCATTTGTGAACACTTAGCTTGTCTGGCAAACTGGCAATGGCGTGGCAGTGAATAGAAACACTGTTGAAGGCTTAAACCAAGAATGAGTTGTGTTCTAACTCCTCATCCAGACATATAAATGAAATAAAATAATCCTCCAGTAATCCCATGCAAGATAAATCCACACTACAATAAAAGTCCAACTCCCAAATCACAGAATGTCCAAATTAGTGCGTTTTATCAATCACTTTCCAGAAGACGTGCTTGTCCCAAGATACTCTCCCTGCTCACCTTTAAGTTTGACCTACAAATTATAAGAAGTCAAATATGTTTTTACAGAAGTGAATTCTTTCATGTGGCAACGATTGCAGAATTTCGTCACTCAATCACGACTTCAAAAATGTGTATATAAAAAACAAAAATATATATCGTAGTGCAACACTGTTTAAATTAAAGCTAATGGTTGACTTCACAAAAACATATGCGCTCACATTACAGCAAAACACACCGTGCTCCACAACAGTGCTGTAAAGTGTTCCCTTCAACCAACATATACAACAGTGCTTCCCATCACCAATGAGTGTGCCATGCACTCACCTTCTTCCTTGACCCATATATCACATAGGTCATAAGCACTATAAACGTTGGTAAATCTTCTGCTTGTCCACCGCTATCCCTTAGTGGCTAAGGGACATAGTGTTACACTGCCACGCAGAACATTGCAATAGTGTAATAAGCAAACACTTACACAAAGATGGAGACAGAGTTGCACAAACTGAAGCTGCCACACTATCCAGCCATGGCGAGCGTGATGACATCACTGGCTAGGCCCCACCCAACATGTTTCGCTAGCAATGAGCATCCTCAGAGAGAATGGAGCATGTCGTGGTTGGATGGTGTGGTGGCTGCCTGACAAGTTTCACAATCAATGAACATCCAATGGGGAATGGACCGTGTCATGGTTAAATGGTGTTGTAGCCATGCAATTAATCCCTTAGTGTGCGGCTGGTTGGGGTCCCTGGGTACCATATCGGCCTGCATTGGTGATTATTAAAGGCAAATAAACATTGAGCATTTTTGATCTCTTTAAATATAGGAGATTACCATCTTCCAGTATAAGGCCGAGTGTTTTATGGTGGAGAAATCACGTGGAGGAACCTCTTTCTGCCTACTGTCTCTTATATATAGTCTGGATTTATTTGAATGGACTTAACACTTTTCACGATCACTTTTGCACTTGTTATTTTATATATAATTAGTAGAGATGAGCGAATTATTAAAAAATTCGATTCGGCTGATTCGCCGAATTCGCGGAATAAATTTGATTCGAGTCGAATATATTCGCTGCGAATTTAACTTATAAAAAGGGTGTTTCTAGGCTTCAGAGAGCCTTTATATTAGTGCAGAACACTGTACCTTTAATTTAAATGCCCTTGGAGTCTGCTGGGGAAGAGAAATAATACTGTCAGTCAGTATGACATGCAGATTAGTGCCGTCGATCTTAGAATCACCGCACACTTCACTCATTTGGGCAGTCACGGGGCCAAAACCAGAGTGTGGAGCCACAGTGTGGCGGTGGAGGCAGCAGCAATGGGAGGCCATACAGCACCCTATGACAAAATGGAACCCACCAGCAGTGTGAGGAGAACCTGAAAGTGGCACATGGCAGAGTGTGGCGATGGAGACAGCAGCAATGGGAGGCCGTACAGGGACCCATGACACACTCTGGACCTGGCAGCAGCATGAGGAGGCGGTACAGGGGCCCATGACAGATTACGGGCCTGGCAGCAGCATGAGGAGTCGGTACGGGGGCCCATGGCAGATTACGGGCCTGGCAGCAGCATGAGGAGGCGGTACAGGGGCCCATGGCAGAGTGGCGGAGCGTAAGCAGCTAAAATTGAAGGCCATACAGAGGCCTATGTTAAAAAGTCCCCCCAGCAGCAGCGTGGGGAGACGACTATCAAGAGTCCAATGGCAGAGTGGCGGAGCAGAAGCAGCTTCATTGAAGGCCATACACAGGCCTAGGTTAAAAAGCGGAAGCCGTCAGCAGCGTGAGCAGACGACAGAGACACATGGCGCAGGGTGGCGGTGGATGCAGCAGTATTCGGAAGCCAAACACAGGCCTCGGTTAAAAAGCGGAAGCCGTCAGCAGCGTGAGCAGACGACAGAGGCACATGGCGCAGGGTGGCGGTGGAGGCAGCAGCAATGGAAGGCCATACAGCACCCTATCACAAAATGGAACCCACCAACAGTGTAAGGAGACCTGAAAGTGGCACATGGCAGAGTCTGGCGATGAAGTCAGCAGCAATGGGAGGCCGTACAGGGACCCATGACACACTCTGGACCTGGCAGCAGCAGCATGAGGAGGTGGTACAGGGGCCCATGACAGATTACGGGCCTGGCAGCAGCATGAGGAGTCGGTACGGGGGCCCATGGCAGATTACGGGCCTGGCAGCAGCATGAGGAGGCGGTACAGGGGCCCATGGCAGAGTGGCGGAGCGTAAGCAGCTAAAATTGAAGGCCATACAGAGGCCTATGTTAAAAAGTCCCCCAGCAGCAGCGTGGGGAGACGACTATCAAGAGTCCAATGGCTGAGTGGCGATCCGGGAAGTCAGCGTTGTGATTGCAGATGCAAGCAGAAATTTTTATGAGGTAATGCCGTGGGTGCGAAGAAGATCATATACCGTCGTACTTCCATCCATAAAGACCTATGTAGTCAGTTGGTCTCTGCCTTTCTGCGCCAACGTCCATCCTCAGACACTGTGGGCCCTGTGCGCTCGCGTTCCGCTGCCATGGCAGCAGGGGAGGGGTGGGGTGGTAGGAGCAGTGGCAGCTCCACCAGCAGTGGCTGCCTCAGTCTGCAGTCGATGATGAGTAGCTTTCTTCACCAGCGCAGTGAGGAAACTACTAACCAGCCGCAGCAGCAGCAGCATCAGGTGGACCTGGAGCAGGACCTCAAACAACAGGCTTAGGCCTACTTGGACAGCACCCTGCCAACCGAGGTAGACAATCCCCTTGACTACTGGGCAACGAAACTTGACCTTTGGCCCCAACTAGCTGAATTTGCCCTTGAAAGGCTGTCATGCCCGGCCAGTAGCGTGGCATCGGAGCGCGTGTTTTAGTGCGGCAGGAGGTATTGTAACTCCGCGGAGGACACGACTGTCCACCCCAAAGTGTGGAGAGACTCATGTTTGTGAAAATGAATCAGGCGTGGATTAGTCTGGATTTCAAACCACCAGTTCCTGACACAACTGACTAAATCCGCCATGAATCATGCCCCAAACATGTTATTAGGGACAAATGGAAGACCTCCACCTGATCCGTACATTTGTATATATATTTTATTGAGAGGCTGCTGGTCGGCCGACTCATGTTTTGCACATTTTTAATGACTTATACTCTGCAGGTCGGGCCCCTCATGAATTGGGTTTTTTAAATTATTTATACTTCGCTGGACGACCGTCACATGAATTGAACCTTTTTAATGACTTTATACTCTGCTGGTCGGGCCCCTCATGAATTGGTGTTTTTAAATTATTTATACGTTGCTGGACGACTGTCACATGAATTTAAACTTTTTAATTATTTATAGTCGACCAGTTCCAGACCGATGGAATAGCAATTTTTTTAAATATTTATTTGACACGTGTTGTCCATCTCATCAATGAGGTGGACTGTTTATTTATTGGCCACGGTTTGGCCCCCTCCTGTTTCTTAAATTGTAACTTGTTGTATCGGTCACGGTTTGGCCACATGTTTGGTTGTCTTGTTAAGATTTTCTGTAATGTACACAGTTACGCTTGACTTGTCGACTTTCCACAATCTACTAAGGTATAGCATCGCATCAAAGTTTGTTTTTTTTTTTTTGGTCTAAACCATTTCTTATAATGTCAATTTGTAGGATACGCCGCTGTAAGGCGACCTACTTTTTTGTCACTGTGTAGACATCTATTTATAGGCCGATGTTTGGCCAGAAAGATATATTTAGTAATAACCTAGCCGTTCAAGCCGCTCACTAAACACACCTCGGGAATTGCTTTGTATATCTGTCGCCTTAGGGGCCGCTGTCTGGCGACATAATTTTTTGTCACTGTGTAGACATCTATTTATAGGCCGAAGTTTGGCCACAAACCGTGACCGATACAACAAGTTAACAACAGAACCGCCGTATCTTTATCACGGTTTTCCCAGGCCACCGAATGGCGACGCTGCATATGCTGACGCAAACGCTGTAGTCCCAACATGGGCCCCCTGGCCACGCTTGACTTTCTGGCCACATACTCGACATACGGCTACGTTTACTTCCTCGGGCGGCTTGACGAAAAATTGCCACACCGCCGAGTAGGAAACTTTGCCCCCGCTACTCCTCACTGGCTGACTGCTACTTCCTCCGTGCACACCGGCACCACTACTGGCCGTGGTGGTAGGCTGCAGTGGAGCTGGTGCTCTACTCCGTGGCCGTTTGCCTCCACTGACACTGCTGCGACCCTGCTGCCTCCTGGGCAACCCACCGACTGTTTTGCTCGCTGGCAAGCTGGCACCCTCTTCTCCTGATGATGCGGAAGCAATAGCCTGAATGACGACGAGGCTGCCAAGTGCGATCAGCCTCATCATCATCAATTAGGGTCTCCGCGTCACTACTAGCCCCCTCGGCTGCGTGTGGGTCCAGGAGACAGACCTGTCTCTAGACCGGCTACCGAGCCACTCTCCTCGCAGTACTTCTTCGCCTGGCTGCTGAAGAGGCGGATGTCTCCCCCCGTTCCTGACCGCCCTCTGTTAGCTCTTCCTCACTGTACAGTGGGGCTGAGCCCACAGCATGCGATACTTCCTTGGTGAGGGAACACCAAAGGACAGGGGCAGGTCGAGGACACGTGATTTCAGTGGGCTTGCTCCCGGGCCATGCCAACTAACGGTTGTGTCTGACGTACCCACCGACCGTTGGCTGTAGGTGTCAGAGCTGACCTGGGAAGAGGAAGACGACCGAGTCAACCAATCGATGACGCAGGGTTGTCGGTGGAGACACACGACCGCTGGATGACACCGGGAGCACTGGCCTCTGGCTGCGACTAGTGCTGCCTCGACCCCTTCCTCTGCTGCCACGTCTGCTTGCTCCTGAAACATTGCCTCCTCTGCCACTCCTCTGCGTGTTGTCTGACATACTCTTTAATTCAATAAGCACCCCAAAAAAAACCGGATTTAACTCTTTGAACGTACAATAGTGGTTGTGAAGCAGAAAGTCAGTTTATTTAGCACAATCGGTCAATTGCAGCTTGCCGTTGGCTGGAAACTGTACGTTTATGTCACTGGAATGCACTAATCACCCAAAAAATATTACCGCCAGCCGGCGTGTAAATGGATTTAACTCTTTGAACGTACAATAGTGGTTGTGAAGCAGAAAGTCAGTTTATTTAGCACAATCGGTCAATTGCAGCTTGCCGTTGGCTGGAAACTGTACGTTTATGTCACTGGAATGCACTAATCACCCAAAAAATATTACCGCCACCCGGCGTGTAAATGGATTTAACTCTTTGAACGTACAATAGTGGTTGTGAAGCAGAAAGTCAGTTTATTTAGCACAATCGGTCAATTGCAGCTTGCCGTTGGCTGGAAACTGTACGTTTATGTCACTGGAATGCACTAATCACCCAAAAAATATTACCAAAGCCACCCGGCGTGTATAATGGATTTAACTCTTTGAACGTACAATAGTGGTTGTGAAGCAGAAAGTCAGTTTATTTAGCACAATCGGTCAATTGCAGCTTGCCGTTGGCTGGAAACTGTACGTTTATGTCACTGGAATGCACTAATCACCCAAAAAATATTACCCGCCACCAGCCGGCGTGTAAATGGATTTAACTCTTTGAACGTACAATAGTGGTTGTGAAGCAGAAAGTCAGTTTATTTAGCACAATCGGTCAATTGCAGCTTGCCGTTGGCTGGAAACTGTACGTTTATGTCACTGGAATGCACTAATCACCCAAAAAATATTTACCGCCAGCCCGGCGCGTGTAAATGGATTTAACTCTTTGAACGTACAATAGTGGTTGTGAAGCAGAAAGTCAGTTTATTTAGCACAATCGGTCAATTGCAGCTTGCCGTTGGCTGGAAACTGTACGTTTATGTCACTGGAATGCACTAATCACCCAAAAAATATTACCGCCACCACCGCGTGTGTAAATGGATTTAACTCTTTGAACGTACAATAGTGGTTGTGAAGCAGAAAGTCAGTTTATTTAGCACAATCGGTCAATTGCAGCTTGCCGTTGGCTGGAAAACTGTACGTTTATGTCACTGGAATGCACTAATCACCCAAAAAAAATTACCGCCACCCGGCGTGTAAATGGATTTAACTCTTTGAACGTACAATAGTGGTTGTGAAGCAGAAAGTCAGTTTATTTAGCACAATCGGTCAATTGCAGCTTGCCGTTGGCTGGAAACTGTACGTTTATGTCACTGGAATGCACTAATCACCCAAAAAATATTACCGCCACCCGGCGTGTAAATGGATTTAACTCTTTGAACGTACAATAGTGGTTGTGAAGCAGAAGTCAGTTTATTTAGCACAATCGGTCAATTGCAGCTTGCCGTTGGCTGGAAACTGTACGTTTATGTCACTGGAATGCACTAATCACCCAAAAAATATTACCGCCCAGCCGGCGTGTAAATGGATTTAACTCTTTGAACGTACAATAGTGGTTGTGAAGCAGAAAGTCAGTTTATTTAGCACAATCGGTCAATTGCAGCTTGCCGTTGGCTGAAACTGTACGTTTATGTCACTGGAATGCACTAATCACCCAAAAAAATATTACCCGCCACCCGGCGTGTAAATGGATCTAACTCTTTGAACGTACAATAGTGGTTGTGAAGCAGAAAGTCAGTTTATTTAGCACAATCGGTCAATTGCAGCTTGCCGTTGGCTGGAAACTGTACGTTTATGTCACTGGAATGCACTAATCACCCAAAAAATATTATATTACCGCCACCCGGCGTGTAAATGGATTTAACTCTTTGAACGTACAATAGTGGTTGTGAAGCAGAAAGTCAGTTTATTTACACAAATCGGTCAATTGCAGCTTGCCGTTGGCTGGAAACTGTACGTTTATGTCACTGGAATGCACTAATCACCCAAAAAATATTACCGCCACCCGGCGTGTAATGGATTTAACTCTTTGAACGTACAATAGTGGTTGTGAAGCAGAAAGTCAGTTTATTTACACAATCGGTCAATTGCAGCTTGCCGTTGGCTGGAAACTGTACGTTTATGTCACTGGAATGCACTAATCACCCAAAAAATATTACCGCCACCCGGCGTGTAAAATGGATTTAACTCTTTGAACGTACAATAGTGGTTGTGAAGCAGAAAGTCAGTTTATTTAGCACAATCGGTCAATTGCAGCTTGCCGTTGGCTGGAAACTGTACGTTTATGTCACTGGAATGCACTAAATCACCCAAAAAATATTACCGCCACCCGGCGTGTATATGGATTTAACTCTTTGAACGTACAATAGTGGTTGTGAAGCAGAAAGTCAGTTTATTTAGCACAATCGGTCAATTGCAGCTTGCCGTTGGCTGGAAACTGTACGTTTATGTCACTGGAATGCACTAATCACCCAAAAAATATTACCGCCAGCCGGCGTGTAAATGGATTTAACTCTTTGAACGTACAATAGTGGTT